GGAGTGCGACAGAGACAGAGCGACGAAAACGACTCTCGGGATCAGTCTGCTGGATGAGGAGGTAGCGAACGGAGACGTGACTTTAGTGCAGCACAAGGAGTCACCGCTGTCTGTCTGTCTGTCCATCCGTCTAAGATGCCCTCGGAAGGAGAGGCACTGGAGGACTGGGTCGATCGAGCGATAGAATCGGGAAAATCGCTGCCGGGACGAAATCCGAGCGCCACAGGCAGGGCGGCCCACTAGGCGTTGCCGAGCCACACAAGGAAGCGCAGCAGCGGCGGGGCTCTCTCGGATTCTCAAAGTGTGGCTACATCCGATATTTCATTTCCCAGCACGGCTGCCCGGCTGTGTCCGACTGCGCCTGACTTGGCACGCGGCAGAGAGAAGAATGTCGATCGAGGGATTGAGTGACATCGGGAAAGGCGGGGAGGAGGAGGAGGAGGAGGAGGAGGACGAGGAGGAGGACGAGGAGGAGGACGAGGAGGAGGACGAGGAGGAGGAGAGGAGGACGAGGAGGAGGACGAGGAGGAGGACGAGGAGGAGAGGAGGACGAGGAGGAGGAGGAGGACGAGGACGAGGAGGAGGAGAGGAGGACGAGGAGGAGGACGAGGAGGAGGACGAGGAGGAGAGGAGGACGAGGACGAGGAGGAGGAGAAGGAGGCAGGGCGGAGGGCGGAAGACTCTTAGATTTCGAAAAGTAAACCACGGCATGAAAAATGAAACTGGAAAGAAAGAGTCAAGAATTTGCAGGGCACCTCTCGAACACCTCCCCAGCGTCCGAGACGGAGTCCGAGACGGAGTCGACTGTACCACCCTCCAGCCTTCAGATCTCCGCGCGCTCTCCTTGAGCTCTCCAGCCGTGTCCTTGGGAGGCGTAACTTTTCGAAGGACGTGCTAAAAGGCTTCCCGACGAAACGAGTCGGAAAAACAGTGTCAGTCTCCCACAGGCGGCCTGACTCACCGACCTACGCTGCGCCGGGGAAGACCGGGTCTCTGCTGCAGGACTCCGAGAGTCCTTTTCGTCGCTGTGTCTCTCTCGCACCTATACGGGACGCCCCATGAGCGCGAGTGAGACAGCGATGAGAACGACTCTCAGTCTGCTGGGGCCCTACGCCGGCAAGGTTGCGCAACAACACCTACACACCACACACCTACGGTGCCCGCCCAGCATCGCCCCCCTGTCCATCTTCGAGACAATATTGACTCTTCGCGCGGCCCCGCCGACCATGATCGCCCTGCACCGCCCCACTCCAAGCGGCAAAAACAAAACACTCTACAGATAAAAGGATTCGATCTCGCCGCCCGGGAGGAAGGGAGAGAGAGGGGGAGTGGGCGGGAGAGAGAGAGAGAGAGAGAGAGAGAGAGAGAGAGAGAGAGAGAGAGAGAGAGAGAGAGAGAGAGAGAGAGAGAGAGGGAGAAGGGTGAGAGGGAGCGAGCGGACAGATGCGCGCGGCAGTGCAGGCACTGACCTAACAAGCACACTGTAACCGTTCGACAATTAGCATTTTCTTGGCAACGGAGGAGAAGGGAGAAGACGCCTGCTCACATCTAGACCACTCCAGCCCTCCAGTAGCACCTGTGCCGCGGCCGGGCCGGGCGCGGCGGAGGGCAGGCCGGGCAAAGGCCGGGCACCCCAACAGGTGTTGCCCCACGTCGCACCTAGGCCGCGCCTAGCACGTGTCCGGTGACAAACGCTGGCCGAAGTACCCCTTCGATAAATTTGACTTGCTGCACTTTGACACACTGCGCACATGGACGTGTTGAATTTGATTCTATCTTATCTTTTTCATTTTTCAATAAGCTTTGTGCCCCTTTCTTTAGCTTGTCCCAGATCAGGAGCACTTGGCTGAAGTAACGCTCAACATGCAGTGCTCTAAAACCACGGATTTGAAGCCAAACCCAGGCTGTTGTGACTTGGATGGAACGCCGGGAACCAACGGTTTGTACTTTGTACAAACTTTGTACAAAGTTTTGTGTGTAAACTTTGTGTGCATCTCGGCGAGCTTGGCCGGGTCCATAGGAAGGGGCCCGGAAAGGGTCCAGGGACCTAAAGCTACGGAGGCCCCTCACCGCCGTGCCCTGCCCCGCCCTGCCCAGCCACCTGTCCGCCTCGGAGTCTGGCAGGGACCGCACCTGCTGCACCCGCCCCGCCCCGCCCCGCCCCGCCGGCTGCACGTGCCATCCCTGCTCTTCCCAACCGTCGTGCTGTAACAATGCGTGTGTGGCCGCCACGCGCTACATTGCACTCTCGCGGGTTTTCTTTGGCGACAGGAAGTCAAGCACAAGCCTGCCAACCGATTAATGTTTCAGCACACTGAGAAAACCTTACAAACTATTTTAGTCCTTACAAAGAAAAGCAGCTTGTCATAGCAAAGTATTTTGAACATACATAAGCTTGCGAAGAAAGTACTTCGAAATTTACGACCTGTTTCTTCGCATAACAAAGTAATACTAGTTTATAATATGTGTGCTAAAAATACTTTGTAAGGTTGTAAGCGTGCAGGGACCCACCCACTGTAACACTTTGCGTACAATGATTGTGGGAATGAGCTGGAATATGCAAGATTTCTGGCACATGTGCCATGTATACGTGTTGCATGCCTGACAGGCGATTTTGCCACCTGGATGTGGAATGTGTTCAAATTTTGTAGAAATAATGAATGAATGAATGAATGAATGAATGAATGAATGAATGAATGAATGAATGAATGAATGAATGAATGAATGAATGAATGAATGAATGAATTCGATTCCTCCTTTGGTGAGCAATCCATTGGTGGGGTCAAATGATGGTGCGAGTCCCATTTGGCGACTCCGGAGCTCAAAACGGGTCAAGAGTTTTGGCCGCCTGCACCGGTCTTCTGGCCCACTGTGCGCGGCAAACGCGGCAAACCCGTTGATGAAAAGCATCTGGCCGCCGCTCCGCCGCCTCACGCCGCGCGCGCCGTCTATTATATTCTTTCTTTCCAGATGATATCTCGTCAATAAGCTGGCTGAGGCGTAGCTGGCGTGCGGCGCGCGCAGTGAAGAGGCTCCAGTTGTTGTCGGGGAAGGTGACGAGGTTAGGTTAGGGAGGTGTTGTGGGAGGCGCGGCCGGGCGCGGCAGGCGTCAGGGTTAGGTTAGGTTCCTTTCTTCGGGGATTGCGTCCGCCTTCTGGCACTCTCGTCACCTGGATCCACACACCAGCAGACTGATTCCGAGAGTCATTTTCGTCGCTCTGTCTCTCTCACTCCTATACAGGGTGCCCCATGAGTTAGAGAGAGACAGGCCGACGAAAGTGACTCTCGGAATCAGTCTGCTGCAGCCAATGACCTCCGCCGTTAATTATGACAGGCCCTTTCATTACGGTCAGGTGGTCCGGGCGGTCGGATGCCCCATGATGCCACGAGGAGATGACACTGACGCCGTCGAAAACGGGCCTACACTGTCATGCGAGTCACACAGAGGGGCCAGAGGGCCGGTGCAGGCGGCCAGAACTCTAGACGCGTTTTGAGCTCCAGAGCCGCTAAACGGGACTCGAACCGCAGACCCCGCCAATGGATTCCTCGTTCGGAGGGCAATCCATTGGTGCGGGATCACACGTTCAGTTCGAGTCCCATTTAGCGACTCTAGAGCTCAAAACGCGTTTTGAGTTTTGGCCGCCTCCTCCGGTCTTCTGGCCCGCGGTGCGGCGCGTTTTGTAAACGGCAGGCGGGCTGGCTCTGGGCTGGCTCTGGGCTGGCTCTGGGCTGGCTCTGGGCTGGCTCTGGGCTGGCTCTGGGCTGGCTCTGGGCTGGCTCTGGGCTGGCTCTGGGCTGGCTCCGGGCTGGCTCTGGGCTGGCTCTGGGCTGGCTCTGGGCTGGCTCTGGGCTGGCTCCGGGCCGGCTCCGGGCTGGCTCCGGGCTGGCTCTGGGCTGGCTCTGGGCTGGCTTTGGGCTGGCTATGGGCTGGCTTTGGGCTGGCTCTAGGCTGGCTCGTGCCCGTCGCGTTGGGCCGCCGCACAAAAACGTTCGGCGCGTCTGTTGCCTCACGTGTTTTTCCTAATACCTCCGAAAAGGCCCTTCGGTCCGCCAGGTCCGCCCTTCCCCGCTAGACAAACTGTGTAATTACACCTGAAACTGCGTCCGGCCGAAAGGCTTGCCGTCTCTCTCTAGCCCTCGCTGCGCCGTGCGGCGCCGCGGCAGACAAGGACAGAGAGAGGCCCTCGCGAAGGCAGTTCGTGGAGGGCGGTGTGGAGGGGGGCAGGCACGAGCTCAAACATCTGTCTGCATGGATCTTGTGGAGCTCGTACGGGTGTATCCGGGCTCCACCTGTTCCGATCAGAGTCTGTCTCTCTCTCCTTTCTCGTCTCTCTCCGTCGCTTCCTCTGCCGTTCGCACCCCCCCCCCCCCCCGCTCCGCCAGCCCAGCGGCCGCTCTCTGTCTCTCCCTCCCCCCTCTCTCTCACTCCACCGGCAGGTTCGTTACCCCTCACACCTGAACATGAACATGATAGGCCAGACCAGGAAAGGTCTTCATCGCACCTGAAGGATAACGCTGTGTCCCTTTTCCTCAACGTTTCGTGTCGACTACAGTGTTAATCTTTGTAAAATCGCCGAAAAAATGGCATGTCATGTGAGTGACGCCTTTGGCACGACTTCACAATGTGGATAGGCGTTTACAATGCGTCTTATAGGAAAAGTTAGTGGACATGACTTTTCTGTCAAGCGTCTTTTTATTTGCGAGATACGCTGAAATTTAAGGAAACGGCTCAAAGTTTTTTAAGCCGATATAAGTATTTTCAGTGAAGTCAGTCTCCTCTCGTGCGCAGAGCGTCGGCATCGCGTCAGTGGAAACGAGATCGGATGAGTCGTTCCGTTCGATACACTTCGATCCAGTCGATCAGGTGGATTCTCCCTGACGCCACCATTCCGCGCAACGGAAGACGTGTCAGTGGAGCAGTCCTCTCCGTTTCGCGACTGCAGACTCAGAGTCGTTTTCGTCGCTCTGTCTCTCTCGCACCCACACGGGACGCCCCATGAGTGCGAGAGAGACAGAGCGACGACTCTCGGAATCAGTGTGGTGGCAAACACGCCGCGGAAGATGAGCTTCGATCTGCTGAGAGGGCGAAGTAGGCCGCCAGCTCGCGGACTCTAGACGGCCACCCGCGCCTCAGAATCCTCACACCGTCCTCAGAGAGACAGATTCCAAAGTTTCCGGTTTATCGATAAGGCTGCAAGGCGCTGCAAGGACACAAGGATGGGTTTCTTATTGATAAGTCACTCTCACATGCACACACCAACGAACCTGCACGCACACACCAACGACACACTCACCACACTGCGAATGGAAGAGTGATGATCCTGACTAAAACTATGATGGGCAGCCAGTAGCTGACCGGCGCAGAAAGCCAAACTCTAGTAGCGTTTTGAGCTCCTGAGTCGCTTAACAGGTTTCGAACCGAACGTGTGACCCCACCAATGGATTGCTGTCAAAATGAATAATCCATTGACGGGGTCACACGCTGGGTTCGAGTCCTGTTCACCGACTATGGAGCTCAAAGCGCGTCTAGGGTTTTGGCCGCCTCCACCGGTGCCGTCTGGCCGGTGCGGTGGCGTGAGGCGATAGTGTGCCACGTCAGATTATGTCTTGCCAGCTACCGAGTGCGACCGAGTGTCCGTGTGGCCCACATCCATCTCATCTTCACACGTGCAACCTCCACTATCTGTTACCTTCAGCTTCAGGCCGTCGTCTCGACGCGTGTCGATGTGTCTGTGTGTCTGTGTGTCTGTGTGCCCGAGTGTCTGTGTGTCCGTGCGCACGGGATTCCCAGAAAGAGGCCTCGCCTTCACTTGAAACTTCGTTTTCTGCACTCTATCTTCAGTGACTACGTACTTTGAGCCCCCCCCCAAAAAAAAAAGGATTTGGAAACTTTAACCACTGTTGAAAATCAATTGTACTGCTAGCCAAGAAAAAAAAACTGTCACAAAAAAAAAAAAAAAAAGCAAATTTTCAGAAAATTTGTCAGCAACTGCAGGGAGCTTTGTGAAAAAACAAACCAAAAAATTTACTAAATGTTTGAGAATTGTTCAAAAACAACGGTGAGCCGAAAACCATAAAAAATAACTTGCTCGCGCGCCTGGAATGCTGGAACTGGCCCCGGCTCAGCCACCCCTTCGCTCCTACACTATTCTAGCTTCCTCTGGCCTGCTGCTAACATCGGCGACCCGTGGCGCTACCTCACGGACATAATGCGAACTACTGATATGGCGGGAGATTTTGAATTTTGGGAAAATATCAAACAAGGTTTGGGAATGAATTTTGATCCGTATGACCTAAATTTCAATAAAGATGCTTCCCATGATTAAATATTGTGGCCTAAAGTTGATTTCAGGCACATGATTGACTACTTTTTGGTGTTCCCAAGAGCTCGGGTTGGGGTGGTCCGACTAAAGCTTTCTCGACATCTTTTATTTTAGACCTAATGTTTTTTCTTGAATTATTGATTGACTTTTTTTGTGTTTTGTGATCACTGATCATGTTAACCTAATGTTTCATTAGAACTTCAATGTTACTTCTTCTTGAACAATTGAGTGAAAACTTATTTATGCAGCTCCTTTTTTCTTTGACTTTTTGTACGCAAATGAAGTGAAAAATTAATGTTCCTCACCTTTGTTTAAAAATTGTAGTAATTAAATCTTAATATATACTAACCAGTCGTTCACTTGCTCGCCCTTATCACAGTTCATAAAGAAATCGACACTACAGCCATAATTCTCTCTTAACTGTGATAATAAGGGCATGCACGTGAACGATTTGTTAGTATATATTAAGATTTAATTAATACAAATTTTAAACATTAATTTTTCACTTCATTTGCGTACAAAAAGTCAAAGAAAAAAGGAGCTGCATAAATAAGTTTTCACTCAATTGTTCAAGAAGAAGTAACATTGAAGTTCTAATGAAACATTAGGTTAACATGATCAGTGATCACAAAACACAAAAAAAGTCAATCAATAATTCAAGAAAAAACATTAGGTCTAAAATAAAAGATGTCGAGAAAGCTTTAGTCGGACCACCCCAACCCGAGCTCCTGGGAACACCAAAAAGTAGTCAATCATGTGCCTGGGATCAACTTTAGGCCACAATATTTAATCATGGGAAGCATCTTCATTGAAATTTAGGTCACACGGATCAAAATTCACTTCCCAAACCTTGTTTGAAATGTTCCAAGTTCGAAATCTCCCGCCATATCAGTAGTTCGCATTATGTCCGTGCCGCAGCGCTGTATGTTGTCCCCTGAATGTAGGCAATTTCAAGGAGCCGAGGAACCAAGAATACACAGCCACCCCTGTAGCCACGCGCGGCGCTCTGCAGCTGTGCGGTCGATAGCGGAGGCACTGCCCCTCCCCTCCCCCCTTTTCCACCTGCCCCTTCCCCTCCCCCCTCCCCCCTCCACCTGGCCTACAATCTCCCGCCCGGCTCGCCGCGGACAGCTTTGATATCATACATATTGTACATTTATAGCTGGAGGAGGCGGGGGAAGGTGAGTGAGTGTGTGTGTGTGTGTGTGCGAGTGTGTGTAGGTGTTTGTGTGTGTGTGTGTGGGGGGGGTGTCCTGATAAAAACAGGGTGTATCGCGAAGAGGGGAAGGGGAGTGTTAAAATACTTCGGAAACGAGGACACTAAGCGAGGGAGGCGCACGAACTGGCGACGGGGGGCGACCAAGTTTGGCGCCACCATCTGAAAAACATGAAGAAGGTTCGGTAAGCAGGTCACGAAGGCTCGCAGTGTCGTCCGTCCGGTTCCGAGAATATAAACGTGAAAACGGGATGAAAATTGGAGGAGCCCTGAAAAATTGAGTTGGTTGGCGTATTTCCTCAGCACCGTTTTAGCCGACGCACTCTCGGAATAGTCAGCGAACCGCAACGACCCATCTGCTTTTCATAAGAGGGAAATTTGAAGGCATTGTCGAATTGATTCGCATTTACGAAGATAGGATTCGTATGATTCGATTTTCCTTTCTTACACACGCAGCAATTCTTCGTAGATTTCACAATGCCGAGGGGTAGGGTAACGACTGGTAAATTTCGTGTCAGCCGGATTACGGATTACCCGGATTATCCGCGGATTACCTCCGGATTACATCCAATTTTTTCCCGGACTACCTTTGAACCGCGCAGGGTTACCCCGGATTACCTAAAAAATTTCCCGGATTGCACCGGATTACCTAAAAAAATTCTGGTCACCCGAATTACGGATTGCTGTCAGCCGAATTACCGAAGCACAATGCCCTTGTATTTTGCGAAGGCCTTTTTTATAGTGTGCCTGGAAAGCACACTCAACCCTTATTTGGTATATTCCGTGTTTCCCCGGCCCGTGGCGTCTGACTGGACGCCGTCCGCAACCCCCTGGGCCCCTCGGCTCCAGCCACCCCTCCGCGGCGTCACCACTTACCTGGAACTCACGGTGAATCCCAGGGCGGTGACTCACGGTGTGGCGCAAGGGGTAGTGGGAAAGGGGGGGGGGGGAATGGCCTCTCGCCCCCGTGCAGACACTCGCTGCAAGATAGCAACCCCTCGGCACCGGTCTACCGATGATGCAGATCCCAAGCACTCGCTCAAGTTACCAGTGATTGTTTTTCGTACGTACCAGATTTTCCATCCCAGTGGGCGCTCCACACAGTGGGTCAGAAGACCGGCGCAGGCAGCCAAAACTCTTGACACGTTTTGGGCTCTAGAGTCGCTAAATGGGACTCTCGAACCGAACGTGTGACCCCACCAATGGATTGCTCTCCGCTCGAGGAATTCGTTGGTGGGGTCACACGTTCGGTTTGAGTCTCGGTTCGAGTTCTGTTTAGCGACTGCAGAGCTCAAAACGCGTCCAGAGGGTTTCGACCACCTCCTACCGGTCTTCTGGCCCACTGCGCTGTGTTGCGTTCGCTCCTCGATGACACACAATTCCAGAAAGTGGAGGCGGCGGGCGGCAGGCAGGCGGTGCCACGTCGGATTCCGCGTTCGCTATTTCGCGCGGAGACAAGTAAACCAGCCAGGGGCCGCGCAGAGTCGAGTTTCCAGTGCAGGGCCACGCGGCATCGCGGCCTCGCGCGTGGCTGCGCGTGCACTGAGAATCCAAACGCTATGAGTATAGCGTCAATTGGTGCAATGCAAAGCATTGCCATGAAGTGCCAATGCCTCCCATTTCCATGCATTAGCATAGGCCTTTCGGGAAGCATTGCACAAGTGCAACATGGCTGTGGCATTGCACGTATGGTGCGATATCACAGCGCATTGCACCATACGTGCTATACTCATAGCGTTTGGAATCTCAGTGTGGCTGACCGGCGGCGTGGACGGCAAACGCAGCAAGGAGGAAATGCCCGCGGCCTCCTCATCTTCCACTTTCTGCTGGTCTCTGCCGCCACAGACGAAGCCGCCTTCTAGTTTCGTAATGTCGCTCCAGTAAACGGGGTTGCCACTCATCTGGAGAGAAACAAAAAGAAAGACACGGTGAAAACTTTGGTTTGTCACTCCAACAAAAGCAAACAATAACAACAACGCCAAAAACAACTAAAACAAAGCAAACGGCATGATTCTGACGTATTTTCGACTGGAGTGGCCCGGCGCCATCTTGCTGCTGTGCCATTCGTTTCCCCTCTGGCTGCAGTTGGCCACCCTATGAGGCGTGTCGGGCCGGACGGTTGGCAACCCTATGCTCAGTCCGCCAATCACAGAGTGGCGCCTTCCATCCCTCTAGGCTGGAGCAGAGAGAGAGAGAGAGAGAGAGAGAGAGAGAGAGAGAGAGAGCTGTGCTCCACCGAGGATGGGGGATCGATCCGGGGCTGGACGCTGGGGGAGGGGGAGGGGCCGAAAAGAATCACAAGGAAAAGGGAGAGGAAATGAAGCAAAAGAAGAGAGGGCCCAGCAAGGGCTTACGGTGGAGCAGTTCAGCGACGTCTTGTCTCACTCACTCCTGAAGCGCTGTCTTTGTTTTAGCAGAGTGTGATGGCGCACATTCACTCACTCCAAAACGGTCCTTAGTCCCTCTGCCTCTCTCGCACTCGTGAGGCGGTCCGTAGGGGTGCGAGAGGGACAGAACGAATGAGACCGCAGCAGACGACGCGATATCGCAGCGGCGAGAAGAAGGACGGAGAACCTCGTGGAGAAAAGGGGCGGGGGAGAAAGGCAGTTCGGAGAAATTCATTGAATGGCTTCTCGCGGCGCTTTCCCCGCCCAGCAGCAGCCGCCTCGCTGTCTCTCTTGCACTCCAGGGGCGTCGCGTGGGGGTGCGAGAGAGACAGAGCGATAGCTCCGCGGCCAGAGGCTAGCCACCCCCATCCGCAGGGCGCCAGCCCCGCGCCAGCACAGCGCGCAGCCACTCGTCCCGAAACGACCTTCTGTCTCCCTCGCACTCGCAGGGTGTCGCGCGGCACGCGCCACGAGTGCGAGAGAGACAGAGAGAGGGCGTTGTTTCAGCCCGCGCGGCAGTATCAGAGGGATGGATTCGGACGACTGCGCACTGCCCCGTGCGCACTGGGCTCGCTGTGATTGGCCAGCCGGGCGGGCCGGACGGAGAGGGGGAGGACGACGCGCTGCCAGGGCGCACGCACGCCCTCT